TAGGGAAACGTGAATTAATTAATTGATTAAAATTTAATTTAATTGGAGTTCAAAGGCAAAACCCGAACGTGAAAGAGGAAATATCGATAAATAAATGTGATATTAATTAATTAATAAATGTGATATTAATTAATAAATGTGATATTAATTAAGAAATAAATGTGATATTAATTAAGAAATAAATGGGATATTAATTAATAAATGAATGGAATAATTTCACCGCCGGGAAGAGCCCCATCCATGGAATTTTTCCCGTTTTTTATTCCCACCAAAAAGGCCGAAATCCCGAATTTTTCCCCATCCGTATCCCAGAATTCCTCAAATCCCAGAATTCCTCACATCCCAGAATTCCTCACATCCCAGAATTCCTCAAATCCCGGAATTCCTCAAATCCCGGAATTCCTCACATCCCAGAATTCCTCAAATCCCGGAATTCCTCACATCCCAGAATTCCTCACATCCCAGAATTCCTCAAATCCCGGAATTCCTCAAATCCCAGAATTCCTCACATCCCGGAATTCCTCACATCCCAGAATTCCTCACATCCCGGAATTCCTCACATCCCAGAATTCCTCACCGCTCTCCCCACTCCCGAAATCTTCCTCATCCTCCGGGAACGGCGGCTCCGGATCCTCCTCTGGGAGGGGAAAAATCGGGAAAAAATGGGAATTCCGGTTAAAATTAATTTAATAATTTTATTTTCGATAAGCTAATTTAATTGTGAATAAAAATCGATAAATTTAATTAATTAATTAAGGGAAACGCTGGAAAATGGTGGAAAACTCCGGAAAATCCAACTCCGGGGCTCTGCTGCTTCTCCCTGAGCTCATCCTTGGAAAAACCATTCCCCATCCCATGGAAACATTTTATACCCAAAGAAAATGCTGGAAAATTATTGGGAATATTGGGAAATGATGGAAAATGTTGGAAAATGATGGAAAATGTTGGACAATGTTGGAAAACTCAACTCTGGGGGCTCTGTTTCTTCTCCCTGACCTCATCTCTGACCTCATCCCTGGAAAAATCATTTCCTATCCCAAAGAAAAATACTGGAAAATGTTGGAAAATTATGGAAAATTATGGAAAATGTTGGAAAACATTGGAGAATGCTGGAAAAATCCAGGAAAATCAAAGTCCAGGGCTCTACACCTTCGCCCTGGACTCATCTCTGGAAAAACCATTCCCATCCCAAAGAAAAATGCTGGAAACTGCTGGAAAATTATGGAAAATCATGGGAAAACGATGGAAAATGATGGAAAAATTCCATGAAAACACCGGAAAATCCAACTCTGGGGGCTCTGTTGCTTCTCCCTGACCTCATCCCTGGAAAACCCATTCCCCATCCCAAAGAAAAATGCTGGAAACTGCTGGAAAATGCTGGAAAATCATGGAAAATGCCAAAAAAAATCCAGGAAAACGCCGGAAAATCCAACTCCGGGCCCTGGAGCTTCGCCCACCCTGGGGAACCCATTTCCCATCCCATGGACATCCCTATCAAAAAAAAATGTTGGAAAATCATGGAAAATTATGGAAAATGATGGAAAATGCTGGAAAGTGTTGGGAAATGATGGAAAATTATGGAAAATGTTGGAAAACATTGGACAACGTTGGAAAACTCAACTTCTGCTGTTTCTCCTTGAGCTCATCCCTGGAAAAACTGTTCCCTATCCCAAAGAAAAACTCTGAAAAATGCTGGAAAATTATGGAAAATAATGGAAAACACCGGAAAATTCCGGAAAATCCAACTTTGGGGGCTCTGTTGCTTCTCCCTGAAGCAACGTCCTTGGAAAAACCATTCCCTATCCCAAACAAAAATACTGGAAACTGCTGGAAAATGCTGGAAAATTATGGAAAAACGCTGGAAAATTATGGAAAATTATGCAAAATGCTGGAAAATGCTGGAAAATGCCATAAAAATTCCATGAAAACGCCGGAAAATCCAACTCCAGGCCCTCCCCACCCCCGATTCCCCGTCCTGGGAGTGGATCCCGGCGGAGCCGCGGTTTTTTCATGGAGCCCCATTTGATTCAATTTTCCACTCGATAAAATTCCCGGCGCTTCCGAACGGACACCTTCACTCTTAATTGAACATTCCCATCCAATTCTTCCCGGGAAATTGGGGGAATTTATCACCTGTGAAATT